GGGTTTTAATGTTTTTGTCTTGTCGCGCTGGGACACACGGCATCATAGTATGTTAGGGGTGTAACATTTCCATCACACACTTGAGGAATTTGGCCAATCACAACGCACTGGATAGCTGGCCAATCACAGCACACTTCGCTTTTCAGACCGATGAGCTTTGTAAAAATCGACGCATTTCAGAAAGGCGGGGCATAGAGGAGCACCAATAATGTACAGTATGTGGAAAAAAAATGTTTTTTGAACCTTAAACAGCATAAACACATTTCATTACACCAAATACACAAAATAATGTTCCACCAAATATTGTTCTTTTTAGCAGCATCATATGACCCCTTTAAAAACAAACATTCAATGTAATTTCTATAAATTGACAGTAATTATCACAATTACATTAGCAATGTCAATAATTAGCCATTAAGAATATGTGATTGTGCAGACCTACAATAGTGTGGTTTAGGGCTTGTTTAACCTTGTTAATGCAGAATCAAAGTTCAAGCAGCAGCGCAGCGCAAGCTCACTAGAGCAGATGAGTTATTCACTGATGAGTCTCGATCATACGACACTAAACAGCGCTGTGAGATCCAGTGTGAAGAGCTTGAATTCAGCAAAGAACACAAATGACTCAGTGATTTAAACTAGTTTATATCCAGATGAAACAGTGCTGACAAACAGCAGAAACACTGCGTCAAAATAAAAGTTTAGTTTAACGTGAAGAAACTGTCAGAATATATTACTATTTAGCAGTCTTAAGACTCAATGCTACTACTGCTAATAAATATTAATATAAATCTTTGTTTTTAAAGGAATAATCACATGTTTTCTTTTTAATTTTAACAGTAAACCTCTGTTGTGCAGCACTTTGTTTGCCAAAAAATAAAAGGGTTTAATTTTCATTTGATTAGGATAAATTAAATTAATGTTTTATGCCTTCATCTGATTACCAGAAAAATTATTGTTTTTCATACAAATACCTAGAACCCCTACAGTTATATTTTTACCATGGTATTGAGGTGCTATATGTGTGGTTTTAACTGTGGTTATCATGATCTAAATGTTTGCTACTATGGAAGACCAATGGTTAATTTTTATCAAACTCAAACAGTCAGATTAACTAAATTTCACCATATAAAAATTAGGTTGTTACAATTTTTACAGATGTTCCTGTTTTTGATAATGAACATAAACTTACATCTGCATCCAAACTCAAGCTACTGTCAAATGTGCATTTCTTAGAGACAAGAAAATGTAATATTATTAATATTGCAGCCTGCTCTGCAAACTGTGCTGAAGACAGGAACACAAACCTGCTTCATGATTTATAATTATAATTACAACGTGCAGAGACTAAAACAAATTTTTTTTTCTATTAAGATATATATTTTGTTAAGGAAAATGAGTGGAAAAGTTTTAGACGTTTAGAAACGTAAAGTGTTTGTCATGTTCTGACCATAAAGAGTAGTTAAAACCACAGTTAACAGTCCTGGAGCCGGGATCTGAACTCAAGAAGCCTGTAGCA